TCTCCTGTCGCCCAGATCTCCCCAGTGTCCTGCTCCCCCACCTGTCTGAAGGAATGAGCTGCTGTTCTGTGGGTGATCTGATGTCTCATGCTGCTCTCCCTGACAGGAACGTTGTGATCTCTCCATGGAGAGGTCCCTGTCCACTGTTTCGTAGTAATGAAAAGCTGCCCTGTAGCGATCCGATGTCTGGTCCTTCTCTCCAACAGGAACAGTGAGATCTCTCCTTAGAAACTCTGGGTTTACACTATGTCCACAGTTTTCTAGTAATGAGCTGCTGCCCTGTGGTGATCCGATGTCTGGTCATGCTCTCCAAGGGGAACAGTGAGATCTCTCCACAGAGCCTCGGCGCCTTTGTCCACTGTTTCCCAACAATGAGCTGCTGCCCTATGGTGATCTGATTAACCATTCCTGCTCTCCCACAGGAACAATGTGATCTCTTCACAGAAACTTGGGTCTATGTCCACAGTTTCCCGGTAATGAGCTGCTGCCCTGTGGCGATCTGATGCCTGGTCATGCTCTCCCACAGGAACCGTGAGATCTCTCCTTAGAAACCCTGGGATTATACTATGTCCACAGTTTTCTGGGCTGCTGCCCTGTGGTGATCTGATGTCTGGTCATGCTTTCAAACAGGAACAGTGTGATCCGTCTGCTGAGCTTCGTCATCTCTGTATTTGTTTCATATTAGATGCCTGTTTACCGGTAAGGGCTGTGTTAGAGGCAGGATGGCCTGCTCTGTTTTAAAGTCAGATCCTTTTATTACTGAGGATGAGAGAGTTGAAGACAGTAATTGTTATTGTATATCTGTGAATCTGTACAATGCCTCAGAAATGTACGTACAATGCATAATGATTTTTGTGAGTGTGTACTACAATAATAAATTAGATATTTGTCAGTCTCTTTTAGAAAATGTGTCTAACACAATCTATGACAACAAACCCATGGTATAACAACAATCGTGAGTGGCAGAAGACAGAACATGAGGTTATACACACAGGGACATATGTTACCTATTTGATCAAATAAACATTTAAACATTGTTGTGTAGGAAGGAAGAAGCACTGCATGTTTCCGCTAAACGATTCAGCAAAGTGAAAACACATCATTAGAATCTGATGTTCATGAGCCTATCTTGCAGCTGCTGTTTGAGACAGCACCATAGAGCAAACTGAAAAAATTTAGTATGAAGGTAAGAGTTCTCTTGAGACTGTGCGAAGCACCTTAACAAAATAGTCTGACATTTATGATGTTCAACTGACATGCTTTGACAATTGTTTTACACAGGAAACTGTATTCCACACCAGCCTCTTCACTATTGAGAGCTCATACTAACACCTGTATTAACATTGGAACATAAGAATATTTACATATGACAGGCCGTGTGACAGCTGGAGGAACTAAACCTCGTTAGTGTGAAGGGAGTGTCCCACACTGACAGGCTGAAGGAACTGAATTTCTAAAGTGTTGAACATAGAACACTATGATCATTCCTGAAAGGCATCAACAAAATCAATCCAGCAGATTTCTTGAGAATGACCAGTGAAACATGAACTAGAACTACTTTGCTTTAAAAGTGCAAATAATGTTTTAGCATATCACCAGTACATCAGTTGGATACACGTTATAAACAAAACAAGATGACCTCTGCACTGTCTGGCAGGACATTAAACCAAAGGGCCTAAGTGAATATCTATGAGGGGCACAAATCCATCCAGGTGGATGGAATTAGCAAAGAGACCTGTGAAATGTG